TGCTTAGAATCTTTAACTGAATTTATACTAACCCTAGACAATAAAGGTTGTCATATGACCTCTCAAGTCTATTTCCTGCCTACATTTCCAGCATCAATTCTCACTTTTTTGGGTTTGGGTTCAATTTGATATTGGCCTCAAAATTTCCCCTATACTGGTTCTCCTGAATTTATCTCTGAGTTGTCAAATTGTCTATCTAATTCCTATCCAAAATCCTTTTATCGATTTAAAGTTGAGACCCATTCTGTTCATTCATTATTTTTACATAATGAATAATATGCATTATACATACAATAATGTGATATTATTACATATAAAATATGTAATATAAAATGCATTACACATACACATCACTGATATTCATTAGTACAGTCACTCATTTAATAAATAATATGCCAAGTAAAACACATCCTTGAGTAAAGCATGATCCTAAACCAGGTTTTGGATATGGGCAGGTGCCAAATTCAATGAATACCTTCATGTCAAGGAATTAGAATACATCTTGTGGATCTGTGAAGAACCAGTTGAAAGTTTGAAGTTTGGTACTTTTTTTGCTGATGTACAAGGGAAAAATATGTTAGGCCATGAACAAGAAGGCTAAGTAAACCCTACTGTAATGAGTCATAATGTAATGATGGAGGGCAAAATTCCTGTTAGAACAGGAATCATAATTAATAAACTAGAATAAGGTGTCAATCAGTTACTGGGTTGCCTTGTATGCTGGATGCATAGCAAAGATTTCCTGTAGATCAATGAGATGGGAAGGAAGAGACTTGAATAGAAGTCCAGTGTGGCACACATGTCATGAGGGCTTTATCTGACTCTACGGGGAACCCAGGAGCTAGAATACCCACTCACTCTAAATCTCTAGTTGGAGCTGTCAGACTTGTTCTTTATATCCCATGATTAATTAGTCACTGGATATGGTTTTCCCGCATGAATGAAGAATGACTTGGATGTATGTTTGTCTTCAGGCAACATCTGAAGGAGGCTGACACCCGAGAGTGTATTGCTGCAACCCTTTCAGCAGTTAGAAGGAACATATGAGTAGAATATCGCAGCATATCCCTCATGTTCCCATGCATTCAAGGGCTGAGAGGGGAAAAATCATAAAAAGCAATATGAGAAAGAGTCCAGGCTAGAGATAAAAGCTTCAGCAATTACAGCCTGTCTGAAAATAGTAGAAACTCTGGACACACCTGATAATCCCCCAAAGAGAGTATATGATTGACAGTTGTATTGAGGTATATAGAGTCCTGAGAGAAAACAGACATGGTTAACCATGCCTTTCAAAGAGCCTAAGATGAGCTAAAGATAAAAATATCAAGCCTGATAACCTAACAAGAGCAAATAAAGTAAATATCCATAACAAATATTTCCTCTGCCTTTGCTAGAGGCCAGATATTTTGCACATGTTACATAAATTTAATCTTTAAATAATCCACATGAAGTCAGTGGTATTGTGATTATGTTATTTTATGGAGCAGAAGTTTTAAGAGGTTTCAAAAGCCCACTCAAAATGGATAGCTAAAATATCAGAAGACTAAAATTTTCTCCAAACATTTCTTCCTTACTTTTCCATAAAAGATGATGATTTATGGTCACGTTTACAGAACGACACAGAGAAAAAAAACTATGGAAGGATGCGTTGGCAACCGCAGCTAAGATGTCTGGATTCTCTGTCCCATTTCCAGTACACTGGCCAGTCGGTGATGTCATATAGAGTCTAATACGCAGAAGACAAAAATGCAGGTGAAACTAAACATCTATGTTCATACATGATCAGGAATGTGGATTCAGAATTTAGATATTGATGATGCAGATAAAGACACAGATAGATTTAAGGAAGTTGAGCCACTTGGCTTGGTAGGGCTCTCCATAAAAATAATGGGCTGACAAAATCCCCGGTAACATGCTGGAGAAACTTCCTTTTACATTGTTAGTCAAAGTGGTGCATGAAGTTCGCAACACAAATAGACTATTGATTTAGCCCTTGGTTGCCCCTCAGACGTTGAAGGGGAATCCTTATTATCGAAATCACTGTACCCTTAGAAAACAGGTCTTGAGAGATTCCAGCTGGATCTACCCTGAATGCCTCCTTCCTTTGGTTTAGATCCCATGATACAAGAAAACACTTTGAAACCTGCCAAAGGAGGGAAACAACTAGTAGTCATACTCACGTGCAACACCTATGAACCACAATGACAAGCACAAGTACAACAAGAGACCAAGAAAGGCACAATAGTGGCCTTCACGTGTTAGTGATAGCCAATTGCTATCTAGTGGACTCCCTGAGGTCCACTCAATAGGAGGTAAAGCATGCCTGCTACCACAAACCTAGCCAGCTTCTGGGCATAGTGAGGTCATAGACCTCAGAGGAGAGTCTATTACCCCATTTTGCTAGACCATCATAATTCCCAACTAAATTCTAAATCCTGTCTTTACAACCACAGATAACTAGACCTACCACCCTCCATCAAAGAAAGTTCTCCTTATATAGAGACCAGCATGGAAAACCACAACTGGACATTGCGTAGATCAACAGGTCATGGGAAGCCCAGCCACGGTAGACATACACACCACAGCTTCTGCATTTATAGTTCAGAGAATCTCACAGAAGAGGGGGAAATGAAAGATTTTAAGAGATAGAATACCAGGAGGTATGCTGTGAAGCAATCCCTCCTTGAAATGGGTAGATAATCAAGACTACAACTACGGCAATATAAGTAGACAAGCTAACATGAAAGGGGGCACTTTAAGGGTTCCCATCCTTAGACAAAGAATTACTGGAAACAGATGATTTTTTTGAGAAAGGTAGACTTAGCCTCACACAGGGATACGCCTCCTTACTGGTTAATCAATACAAAATAGTCAGGCTTGTAATCATATAGAAACAAACAGCAAAAAGCTCTCAGCAGGTTACAATTGAGTGTTTGTAAATACGTGTGTGTGTATGTGTGTGTGTGTAATAACAGTTATCAAGGAAAAAACTATCAATCAATTTAATTGTAAAGGATGATATGGTCTGAGTTAAAGGGAGGAAAGAAACAGGGAAAGTGATATAATTCTATGGTAAAACCATGAAAAAATTTTTTCAAAAGGAAACCAATAAAGTGAAAGATACTTGGATATGCTCATTTTCTGAAGAACAACTCAGGAAACAGGAGAGGGCACAAGAGCAGTGAAAAGAGGGACTGGAGGGAGGAACAAGGTCCCAAAGCAGGTGGCAGGTGAGGAGGGTCTTAGCACTTTTGAGAGGAAGAAATTTCCTCTGAGAAAAGGAAAGGTAAAGGCATCGTGATGGTTGGGTTTGACTTTTAAGGAAAAAAATCCAAAGGTCCTTATATTAGTCGTGATTCTCAGATTAGTCTCATATGCTTTCTTTAGCCCTGTGTTCTAAGTCAACACACTCTCACTTGTATTTACTCGGAAGGCCGGCCAAACAGTCTCACTGGGGGAAAACCAAACAGCTGGAAAAGAGCAGCAATCTGGACACTTCCACAGCAAAGTGAAGATGAACCCTAAAGTGTGTTGGAACAAGAACAAGCAGGTGGAATGAGGAAGATCTGGAGGTTGTGAAATCCAGAGTTCTGTTGGCTAACACTGGCAGGGTGGGAATGGTTAAACTTATGTGTCAGAACCCAGAACAAAGGGTCCCAAAGCCCTTCCTCCTGGCTGCCAACAGGAAGCTGTCAACTACTCACATTATCTGCTTCCTCAATGATTCACACACTATAGGGCTCAGGAGTTCTCAGACCACCCATCCTAAAATCCCATAGATTCCAGAAGTCTGACAGTGCTGGCCTGTCCATTTAATGCTTTAGTCCGTATTTCACTGAAATGGAAGTTCATTTTCACACTACGATATCTCAGAGAAAGACTGAATGACATGTTCGCATTTGATTAAGATGATTCCCATAGGCTGCACTAAAGCCTTCGAAAGGTCCATGCTTCCTACCATAAGGCCCTGGGAAACACATGACTTTCAAAACAGGCTCAATTGAATTTTTCTTGAAAACAGTTTGAAATAAATGGGGAAGGGTTAGTGTCAAATGTCAGATTTATATGAATGTGTTTGACAAACACATCTCTCTATTCTGCTCTTGAATCAGATTAAATGTAGAGAAGAAATGCAGGGAATGAGCCCAAAATTTGCCCCTGGGCAGATACTACAGCTAGCCTCACCCCCAAACCGTAGACCACACATTCTGTGACTAGTAAATGGGGGATGCAGCTTGTAAACTGCAGAGATAGTTTCTAGCTCTGAAAAGTTGTCTATGAAAAATTTGAGTAATATTGGAGCTCAAAGGGCAACTTTGTATTTTCCAAAAAAAAGTAGAACATCACCTCTAAGTTTCTATAGATATGATGTATTTCAAGCTGTCACTGAAGAAACATCTAATGAAAGTTTACAAGTTAATCATCTTTCAGCAGGGAGAGAGGTGTCACTTAGCAGCTAATAGAATAATTGCTAGTGTATTCAAACAAATCTCAAGAGTAACTGGGAGATTTGAATCTAATGCTCAGGGCTCTTCCAAAGCATTCACAGTCTTAGTAGAAGTCCTGATGTCACGTAACGAAACCTTTCTCTATCCAGACATCATAGTTGATGAACAGCATTTGGAAAAGACGCTTTTCACAAGAAGAACCTAGTAGCCAAAGTCCAGAATGACTTTCACTTTCTGTCTGAAAAAATGGCAGAGTTTTGGCATCTTCAAGTTCTCACTTAACCACATGTATTTATATTTTCATATAAGGCTGCTTTTTAGTAGAATGTTTTCAGCTCTGTAATTAGCACTGCACAATGGAAGCCCTGGTACTTAATTACAGCATTGCTAAGACAGTAATAGCATGAGAAATGCTAAAGTTGAAGGCAGTGTTTCTTGACACACCTCTGGTTACATTCTTATTGGCTGGGAAAGAATTATACATGCTGAGTGAGTAAACCAAACAGAAATGAAGGTGTGTGTGTGGGGGGGGGTAGCACACATGAACTTACAACAGGTACTTCGAGTTAAGCCGACTCCAGGCACTGCTGCTGATTAGAACTAGTGCATCATGGAAAGCAGGAGTGGAGGAGACCGGACGTTCTTTTAGACTAGAAGACTACTTCACCTGCGTCTTGAGCATCTCCTAACCTTCTAGGCTGGACCAGTCTGCAAAGAAGAGACAATGGCTTTTTATCCCCTTCAGATTGCTGGACTGGTTCTTGGGTTCTTCGGTCTGGTTGGGACCATTGGCACGACACTTCTGCCTCAATGGAGAGTATCAGCTTTCATTGGCAGCAACATTATTATCTTTGAGAGGATCTGGGAAGGACTTTGGATGAACTGCATTCAGCAAGCGAGGGTCACGTTGCAGTGTAAGTTCTATACCTCCATTTTGGCTCTCCCGCCCGTACTGGAGGCAGCACGTGCACTCATGTGTGTGGCTATAGCTCTTTCCTTGACTGCTCTCATCATTGGCATCTGCGGAATGAGACACATCCAGTGCACCGGCTCCAGTAAGAGGGTCAAAGCGTACCTGCTGGGAACTTCAGGAGTCCTCTTTATCCTGACTGGTATCTTCATTCTGATTCCAGTGTCCTGGACCGCCAATATCATCATCAGGGATTTCTATGACCCAAACGTCCACATGGGTCAGAAGCGAGAGCTTGGAGGAGCTCTCTTCCTTGGCTGGGCGACCGTTGCTGTCCTCTTCATTGGAGGTGGGCTGCTCTGTGGATATTGCTGCTGCAACAGAAAGAAGCAGTGGCACCGATATCCAGTGCCAGCACACCGTGTGCCACAAAAAGATAACCAAAGGAAGGGGGCCGTGCCTAGCAACACCTCCACCAGCTACGTCTAAGGCTTGTTTTCAACACCAGCCCATGGCTTAGGCTCATGCATTTTATAGTCTTCCCAGAAACTGTGAGTACATCGGGCAAGAGAACCACCATTATGGTAGATTTAGCCTGAGATGAAACTTTTGATATCTTTTTTACCTGAGGCAGGAATATAAATGACTTATTTGGACATTATGATTCACTGTTTAATACCTGTGCTCACTCTTGTCCGACTCAATATTTCTTCCAATTCATATAGTCAAATACAAAGTACATTCTCAATTTTAGACATGTGATGATTGTGCATACTCTCTCTTTGAGAGGACCTGGGAAGGGTTTTAAATGAACTGCATCCAGCAAGCTTGGGTCAAACTGCAGTGCAAATTCTGTAACTCCATCTTGCCTCTCACACCAATACTAGAAGTAGCATATGGACTCATTGTCATGTATTCTGATAAGAAAATCACAGTTGCAATTGACATTCCATATCAATAAAACATACACATATTTTCAAAGATAACCTGTTATTTTTACTTCAAGTCTCTTATTACATACCAAGTAACAGCTAAATGGTGATAACTGTAAAGCAATAGTCCTGTAAAATTTATAGATTAAATTGTAATTTTGGTTGAACTCATCAAAGGATGCAAATGGTTACTTACTATTTATTTTTAATTCTGGGAAACGTATTAAAATTCAACTTTTAAACAAAAGGATAAACGAGTTCTGGTTTCTCTATACAAGATGATTTTCAAAGTCTCCACTTTGTGTCAGTTACTCTTTCTTGGACACATGCATTCAAAGAAAATGATATCTAAATGAAAATAATCTACTCACAAGGTTTACAATTTATACACTCAACAAAACAGAATCGTCTGTCTGTTTCAGGCACAGAAACAAGTTAAGACAAATGAAATTCTTCTGGGAAGGATCCACATTGTGAAGACAAAAGTTAAATTCAGTCATTGAAGAAATGATTTTAGTTCCTTGTCCTATTTAGTCAGTGCACAGGTCTAAACATGCAAAGAGAAACACAGAGCCAAGGTAGTTTGTCAGACAATTAGTCAGGCTGAAATGAATCCTAATTTTTTTTATTCTCTAAGAAACGAACAGTGATGTCAATGCTTTTTGTTTTGCCTGAAACATTTATGTTATTTTCTCAAAGTTTTTTGTTTCCCATGGGCACCTAACAATATCAAGATTATAAGTGGTATGTGGACTTGAGAGGTGAATATGGACACAAAATGTTTGTGAGGAAAAATCTACTCTCGTAGGTAACTTCTATTAGCTTTTCTACACTGTGAATCAGTGTTTACATACTAAATATCAGTCTTTAACAGTATATTTATTTCATAATAAAATATTTAATATCCAATATGTAATTACACAAAAAGGTTTAATTTGCTCATCAAATGTTCTTTGTGTGTTCATAGTTTTCATAATATAATAAGCTAATAAAATGTCTCTGTATCCCAATGATGTTGATTTATTTAGCTACAAGATTAGTTGGAGAATGCCTATCAATCTTCAAGAGTCAACCCATCACTAAAATATTAATTCAACAATAATCCGAAACTAGATCCTGTATGAAACCCTTACTCTATTCTACAAACCAACCTAGTTTTCAATAATTCAAGCCCCTTAACAAAACAAAACTTCATTCAAAACATTGGGGATGCTAAATGTAAATACATATGGAAACATAACTGTACACTCACAAAAACAATTAAAATATAAATAAAATAGTCAGCACCTCAGTAAGGTTTCCTGATCATTTTCTTTTAGCTGTAGAAACCTAATATAGCTCTCTTAAGAAGGAGTCGTTTATCTTACATGGCTGAATAGGTAAGCCGTCAAGACAGGGAAGACATATGCTTAAAAGTTGTCAGGCAATCATTTGTCTTACCTTTTGATTCACCTGGAAATAATTAGCTTTACAAGAATGGGTCCCAAATTCTAAATGAAGTGTCTTTTGGCTGACAAGTGGATCAGAGAATACAAGGTGTATTCTGGGTGGAGTCACAAGTTAACATTTGCTACCAAATATGATGCAAAAACTTGCCAACAGTTAGTCGCCTGCTTTCCCACTAGTCAAGGTGAACTTGATTATTTTCACATCCTACAATGGGCTGAAATATTTTCTCTAATACAACAAAATGAATTTAGTAATGTCCAACAAATTCTGAGACACATTATGAATGCAAATCTCCTATCACAAACCCAGGTTATACAAGAACTGTTTCTATATACTAAGATTTGACTGAAATTCAACTTTATGGGAAATTTCTCATGAATTACCCAGTTCATGGAATGGATGCAGGGATTTGTGACATTGATAATATACAAAACTCAGTAACTCTATATTATTACTGTGTCTAGTCTTAATACATTTTTGAGGATTGATTCAGAAACAATGTACAGATTAAACAATAGTCATAGGTTTTAACCAATATAGGTTCTTTCATCCAGGGGAGACATACAGCAAAAGTACTCATGAAATGTAAAATCTGAATAATATGAATTCTGCAGTCACTTTGAGCAAAGAGTAGCATGATTCAGTGATGACAATATTTCCTCAAACCTGAAACTTTGGGGTTATTTCCTAAGATGAAAGTAAAACAAAAGAGCAGAGTTGAGAGACCCTAAATGTCCTTGTCTCTAGAGCATGCGTGTGGAGAGAGCACTCTTTATCTCAATACTGGAGGACAGGGACTCAGGGAAATGATAAACTCTTGGGTGGGTTTAAGAATTCCAGAATAGATAGAGGTATGTCCTGATTTATATGATAGGATATTGTGGATGGGTTCCCAACAATCCTTGTAGGATAGTGGGAGATCAGAAGAGATAACTGACATCTATGTGATGTGTTCTGTCTTACAGGTAGGAAAAGGAAATCTTGCCGAGTTTTCCACAACTTAAACACCATGAAAGTGACGAATACCACCCTCTACACATGTGTGCACATGTACACTAGTACACACACACACACACACACACACACATACACACACTCACAAGAGTGACAGTCTTTTCTGACTCAGAACTTCACCTGTCAGGACTGAAGCAGTCAGTAGTGATGCACAGTATAGACACACGGTCATTTGTCCTCAGAGCAGACCCTAATATCTTTGTCTTTCCACCAAGATCAGTTTCTTGATCCTTGTCACATGGAGTTTGATGCCAAGCAAGTGGTGGCACCGTCTTTCTTGGTGCAGAGACATCATGTACAATAAATTACCAAGCATGGGAGGGAGGAAAGAGCAAGGGAAAATGATATAGGTTTATTAAAATTTTTTAAAAATAAAATTATTGTCTTTAAAAATGTAAATATTAAAACCAGCTAATATTGGATCTTCTCTATACTATTTTGAATTGGTGATTTTCTTTTTTAAATTAATTTTTATTTAAATTAAAACAATTTTATTTTACATACCAATCCCAGTTCCCTCTCCCTCCAGTCGTCCCATTCTGCCCACCAACTACCTATCTTACCATACATCCACTCCTCAGGGAAGATGAAGCCTCCCATGGGGGATCATCAAAGTTTATCACATCATTTGTGGCAGGACCTAGGCCCTTCTCTGTGTATCTAGGCTGAGAGAGTAACCCTCCATAGGGAATGAACTCCCAAATTCCATTCATGCACTACGAATAAATACTGGTTCCACTGCCAGCAGCCCAAAGATTGCCCAGAGCCTCAAACTGACACCCATATTCAGGGGGCCTGGTTTGGTTCTATGCTGGTTCCCCAACTGACAGTTTAGGATCCGTGAGATCCCACTTGCTCAGGTCAGCTGTTTCTGTGGGATTCCTTAGCATGTTCTTGACCCCTGTGCTCATCAATCCTCCCTTTCTACACAATCTGTGATATGCATCATTATTGTACTTAGATAGAAATTTGAAAAATATACATGTAGATAATAGTAAGGATGACAGATGATCAGAGAAGTAAATGGTTGATGGACATATATTGAAAAAATAGGCAGTTGTTAGATGCCATACTAATTGATAATAGATGATCAGATAGGTAGAAAGGCAAACGGGTAAGTACAGATATGCAGAGTAGATGGCAGATTGGTAGGTAGGTAGATTATAGATGTCATAAATGATAGGTGAATGACAGATAAATGATTAGGAGAAAAGATGATAGATAGAAGGTAGACAGGTAGATACATAGATGATAGATTAAGAGATGATAGAAGACAGAGGTAGTAGACTTGTGAATAGATAAAACAGAAGATAGATAAGTAAATAATAGATAAATGGTAGTAACATATAGATGGTAGATATAGACATGGGTTATAGAAGATAGAAGATGGATGATAGATATGTATTTCTTCTGTTGTATATTCTTAGCACATGTAGAGTTTTAATTGAAAATCGTTCAGTATATTCTGATCATGAATTCCACTCCCCCATCTCCTTCCAGATCTTTCCCACCTCCTACCCATCCAACTCCATGCTTTCCTTCTCCCCCTTGTTACATAATAAGGAGGCAAGTTACAACAAACATAAAACATATATTAAATCACAAGAAACATGCATACACAGAGAAATCATAAAATCACCAAATCTGAAACTATAATATATGTGCAAAAAACAAGATTTTGGAATGCCCAAACAAAGCATTATGAGAAAAAATTAAACTTACAAAAGAATCTTGCTTTGCGTTGGCCACCTACTAGTGGTCATGGAGCCTACTTCTAAGTGTGCTTTATATAACCGGTGAAACTCTACTGGACAAAAAACGACTTTTCCTTTGCAAATGGTTGTTCATTGGAGATCACTTCTTGGTTAGGGTTGAGAATAATGTCTATTTAATCCTATCAGCACTAGGACCCCTTCTGGCTTCACTTTGTGAAGATCGTGTACACTCTGCCTCAGTCTCCGTGATTTTATATGTGCATCAGTTCTATTGCGTCAGGAAGACACTATTTTCTTGCTGTCATCGAGACTATTTTCTTGGTGTCATCCATCCCCTCTGGCTCTTACAATCTTTCTGTCTCATTCTCTGCATCTTTCCCTGAGCACTGAGAGTAGGAATTTTTTTTGGAGATATCCCATTTAGGATTGCATGTTCCAAGGTCTCTCACTCTCTGAACATTGTTAAGTTGTGACTTTGTGAGGAGGTTTCTCTGATGATGACTGAGTGAGGCTCTGGTCTGCAAGTGTAGCAGAAGATTTTTAGGAGTTATTTCACTGCTGTTTCTTTAGCAGAACAATTGTATATGGTTCCTCTCTAGGTCCATGACCTAGCTAGTGTCACCTTCTTGACTACCTGAGTAGTGTCCATCATGGATAGCATCATGAGGGGCAGCTCTTAAATCCAACACAGAGTGGTTGGTCACTCCCACAATGCTTGTGCTGTTACCAACTGTATATCATGCAGACAGGTCACCATTGTAGACTGCAAGGTTTGTAACTGGACTGGTGCTCATCTTGCTTCTCTGGTAGCATGTGGGGCATCTTCTGGTACCATGGACACTAGGCAGTATGGGTGAAGGTTCTAGTTAGGCACCA